TAGCCGCTTATTGTTGTACTACCCCAGAGAGGTATTGTCTCTCTGGGGAAATAATCTGAAAAATAAAATCGAATTGAGTTATAATTTCAGCTTCTTACCGTTAATATTAATGAAATTATTGTGAGATGAATTTGTTACTGTGTGTGTAACAAGTAGCATTATCATAAATTATAATCTACATAAAATGATTACTGTAAGGCGTGTAAAAGACCTAGTGATTATTTCGTGATATATACGTGTAGAAGAATAGTAAAGCATGTTGTATAGCAAAATACAAGTGCTTTGCTTTCGTATTCTTTGTTTAGTTTGTTGAAACCCTTGCATTTTTGCCATATATCCCACCCATTATCTATATATAGCAAAATGCGAGATTTCAAAAAGTTTATTTTTTAATATGAAAACTAAATATTTCGGATTTCTAATATTTTTTTTATAGTAGTAGACAATACAAAGTTTTTACTGATATAGTTCGTTTATTTTAAACATAGTAAATAATACTTAATAAATTAAGTTTTTGATAGGTGCGGCGTATATACCGAAGTTACTCTATGTCACGAGACACGACAGTGTCTCGACGCGCAGCGACAAGACTGAGAAGTGTCAAGTTAGTTTTTCTTTTTTTGAAAATTACAATTTTCTTATATGTATAATATAATTCAAACCCAAACTGTCAATTGAACTTATAACTAGAACTTGATCAGTTCAACCGTTATTGAGATCGGATAATCTCGGCCCGAAGCAATTCTAGTCGGCTTGCGTAATACGCGGTAAGACCGGCAATGTATCTTTACGCGAGCCGACTAGAATTGTTTCGGACCGAGCTTATCGAATTTCAATATAATAACAGCTGAATCGATTCACTTCTAGCTATAAGTTAGTAAGGGCTCAATTGATAGCTTGGGTTCAAATTATACATGTAATAAAATGTACACACATAAAACGAAGCAGAAGTTTATCTAACGGAGATAGAGAGACACTTAGAAAACTTCTATAAAGATCCATATCTTTTTATCTGCTGATTTTATATAAATGTGGCAAAGGGAACACTTGTACAGAGAAGAAGGGATTATTTCTCCATATAAAACGGGTTCCTTTAAAAATTATCAGTTGCGGCAGGAAATTGATTTGTAAAGTGTAAAATCAGGGCATGGAAAATTACTTTTTAAAAGTAACAAATTACAGTTATTGAAGTTACAACAAGGAGTCAGGTAACAAAGTGCTTGTCTCATAAGGGGACAACATGAAATGACGTAAAGCACACGCAGCAGAAGTAATGAAGGAAACTTATGAGAACGATGGACTTGTCTGTAACTGCTCATGCCTAAAACGGTATAAATTCGGAAGTCGTCGCGAGGAAGAGAAACGTTAAATTTATTTCAGAACTTTTTTAATAAGCACGAAGCTTATAATGGGGAGTACGCTTTTATATTCCTATTCGTCCTTGCTACATACAAACTCAGATATCTATATGTAGCGATGATATGAATTCTTTTCATTTAGATATCTGAAATAAAATTTTCTATATGATTATAAGAAACTATGAAATAAGTAAATTTAAATTTTTAACGACACTTTTATTTTCGAAGGTAAATTTGGCCGCGTTATGACTACATATATTGCAACAAAGTTAAAATAAAACTGCAATGTTATATGTGTCTTAAATCTTATTTTTGAATAAAATAATTTTCTATGATTTCATATATTGCAAAGTTAAAGTAAAACGACAATGTTAGATGTGTCTTAAATAAAATAATTTTCATTAAAAGGTATTCCGTAATTATAATATATACTTTGGATTTATTTACATTATTTTATTGTCGAAGAAATTGAAGATCAAACGAAATTATTCTCAAATTGTGAATTAACTTCATCAGAAGAAACAAATTTAATATGTCCGATTCAGTTTATTTCATGTCTACTTGTTGCAAGACATATGTATACGTTTTTACCATCGTGTTGAACTGAATAATCGTGGGCGCTATTCAGAAAGAGAAAATAGTGCTATAAAGCATCGTCACGCGATGTAGAGAGGAAACATCAACTGCGTGCAGCTCACCGCTAGTTAGCATTAGAGTAATCAATCTTTTAGAGAGACTGTGAGAATTATTATATGCGTGACTTTGTGTGTGTGTGTGTGTGTGTGTGTGTGTGTAATAGTGGACTTAGAAGCAAAATTACAGGGTCGGCAAAAAACAGGGACTGCTCTATTAAGAACTTAACACCTGTGCACCTTTTTTTACTTGCATTAAAAAAATATTCTTCTTAGTTTTTGATCGATATTGCGGTTTTTATTTAACATTTTAATGAATGTTATCTTGCGACATTAGCGAGATAGGCTTACGATAAAGGATTAGATAATGATATCGTTATATTTTAATTATTGATCGCTGATTGCAATGTCCATTACTCTATTTTGTTATATAATAGAATTAATCAACCTAGGAACATACCGCGAACCATATAACTACTGGAGCGTATAACATGCCGGAGCAAATATCGTTTCGCGTCCACTTTGGTGTGAAGCTGTAGCCGCAGTTCCTGCAATAACGTTCCTGCTACGTTAGAAATCGATGATGTAAATGACAAGTGACGATTTTAATTTATGATGAAAAATCGATGATAAAGATGATGGTGTAATAAAAATGCGAATGGCAATTCTCTCCAATGTGACTTATAAAAAAACAAGGTAAGAATGCATCCTTTGGCTGCTTGAAACTCAACCAACTTGGACCTGACTGGAGGCCAAATGTTGTAGAAAAAGCAATGATATCAGCCAATTATCGCAGTAAGGGATAAAAGCTGTGTTAAGATTAAATATTTAAAATAATACCAACGAGAATACAAAAATGCACACTGAGAAAAGTATCCAGGCTTTTTCCGATCATAATGATCGAATTATCCGTTCAAAAAGTAACAAACGATTATTTCCGATGATTTTGATCGAACAAAAGATCCGATCGAATATTTGATCGGAAATAAATTAATCGGAATGTCCGATGAGAAATATCCGTTCATTACTTTTTGAACGGACTATTCGATCATATTATATCCGACCAAGTACCTGTACGCGTATATTTTTGGACGGATAACGTTAACAGATCAAATTATAGGGGAAAGTTGCTGAATGCGTACCACTTAACGTATTTTTTATTATATTTCTCATTTAGAACTGATTTGTGTGCAAATGAAGATTAGAAATTGTACT